AATTTATGATATTTCATTTCAGTTACTCCAAAGAAAATTCACTTGCTTGTTAGTGATGCCGGGTACTTGAATCAGAGGGTATTTAGACAATGGAGACATGCATGCACTGAATATAATAGCTTATTGTCTGCATCTTATGACTCTAAAAGCATTGAATTCTTAGTCACAAAATGGTAGAATTGACCATTGTAGTTTACTCCTAAACTAATCATACTATGGACTAAATGACCTTATTCTCAATCTCTGCTAAAGTAAATAACTGCCCTCATGTTTTGTTTTGTTTTGTTTGGTGACAATTACGCTCTTAGATGAACAAATGCAATTTAGATTAGATAAATAAAATTCCCTAGATGCATCCTAGATCCAAATGGAAATCTTTTAAACACACCTACACCTTTTTCACTTATTTTTGTTAAGATTAATTTAAATTTGTATAAACTATTGGTTTGTTTCCAGGTCCGGATCATTTTGTACTAAAAAGAAAAATGAATGAATTAGATTGAACAAATAATTTCTGCTATTATGTATAGTACTGTTTTGCTAGTTAAGTATTTTTGTTTTGTTTGTTCACAATCTTAGGGGCTTCTGGTTTGTCTGTGTAATTTATACTAGATGACACATGTATAATTAACCTTAGGATATTTCTTACTAACTGCTACCTCCATTTTTCTGCGTAGCATGTAGTGATTTTAATTTGTAGATTATAATTACTATCCATATTAAGTTTTAAAAAAATGTGACATAGAACTCTTAAGGAGCCCTGGTGGTACAAGGGTTAAGAGGTGGGTTTTGGATGGTAAATATTTCCTTTTTTTTTTTTTTTAGATGGAAGTTTACAGAGCAAATTAGTTTCTCATTAAACAATCCATATACTGTTTTGTGACATTGGTTGCCAACCTCACGACATGTCAGCATTCTCTGTTTTTCAACCTTGGGTTCCCCATACCAGCTTTCGTGTCCCCTCCTTCCTTTTCGTCCCCTTGCCCCTGAATTGGTGTGCCCATTTAGTCTTGTTTTGTTTTATGGGCCTGTCTAATCTTTGGCTGAATGGTGAGCCTCAGGAGTGACTTCAGTACTGAGTTAAAAGGGTGTCCAGGGGCCATACTCTCTCGGTTTCTCTAGTCTCTGTCAGATCATTAAATCTGGTCTTTTTATGTGAGTTAGAATTTTGTTTTACATTTTTTTCCAGCTTTGTCTGGGACCCTCTATTGTGATCCCTGTCAGAGCAGTCGGTGAATATTCCCTATTATTCAAACAAAAATAGCATATCATTATTTGTCCTTTGAGGAAGGCTAGCAAATGTTCATCTACTAAAATTATTAAGTCTGAGAACTTACAATGCTGAACTGTAGAGTAATGAATTAATTATACAGGTAGAGAAATTTTATATAATATAAATAGATTTCTAAGGTGTTTTACCTCTAAAACGTATGATTCTATGATAGATTTTTAAAAAATTTATTTAACTGATAGAACTAAAGCCTTGTCTTAGTGGTATACAGAAAACATAGCTGCTGAATATAAAAAATGTGAAATATTTTATATTAGGGAATAATTTTTATTGCTTAAACCTAGGAAGGTGTTGGGGTTTCATGAATGTGTTTCCTTTTGGTTTATTTTGGTCCTGAGGTAGTGACTGAGCTATTACACCTTGTTGTATTATTGTGTGGTGCTTAGAAACCATTACATGTCTTGGGATTTGAAAGGTAGAACAGGAATGCCATATAGTCTAGGAAAAAAAGCAAGCACATACAAAAATCAACATAAAAATCTTTTAATATTTAGGATTCTACAACCTATGATAATGATTTTTACCAGTTTACTATATGATTGTGTAATCTTTAGAAACTATCCTCGTTCACTCTTTTTTCTTTTGCACAGTCAGATTATTTAGATACAAAATATAATTTTGTTTTTTATGTTGGCTCTTTTGTGTATACAGTTTTTCACAGCTTAATTTATTAAATTTTTACCTATTTTGCTTATCCCAAAAACATATTATCAGGTTGCTGTTTTTAACTGACTATAAGTTAATGTAATTGAATTTCATTTTAATTAGTTTGATTTTAAGTTGAAATTTTTCTTATTTCTAAGTAATTTAAGCTACATGTCTGAGCAATCATATACTATAAATTTGCCTCATTTTATAGAAGGATTTTAGGTAAAATTTGGAGTGGACATCTGGGAGAAGTCCTATTACTGAATTATTTTTGCTTAATCAATATCCTGGTCAAGTTAGTCTCTGTTAGAGACGGAATCATTTATGTAAGAGATTTAATTAATTGCTATTTAATTCATACATTCGTATCCTAAGATGATAGCTCTCATAGGAGAAACAGTTGGTGACATTAATAGCATATAAACAGAAAAAAGTTAGGAAAATGCTCCTATTCTGAGATTAAATGGCACATACATCTGTATGAGTATGTGTATATGTCTACGTGTGAGTGTATGTATATACGCGTATATCTATATATATGCAGCTGCGTGTATACACGTTTGTTCATATTTGTATCAGATTAGATAAGTTCCTGTTTTCCTTTTGTCTTAGTCATCTAGTGCTACTACAATAGAAATACCATAAGTGGATGGCTTTAACAAAGAGAAGTTTATTCTGTCACAGTCCAGTAGGCTACAAGTCTAAATTTAGGGCACCAGCTCTAGGGGAACACTTTTTCTGTAGGCTCTGGAGGAAGATCCATGTCATCAGTCTTTCCTTGGCCTGGGAGCTTCTCTGCACAGGAACCTCAAGTCAAAAGGATGCACTCTGCTCCCAGCACTGCTTTCTTGGTGGTATGAGGTTCCCTAGAGAAGCAAAACCAGTAAAGCATATAAATATATATAGAGAGACATTTATATCAAGGAAACAGCTCACATGATTGTAGTGGCTATAATGTCCCAAGTCCGTGGATCAGGGTAGAGGCCTCTCCCAATTCACGCAGCCACAGAAGCTGGCGAGCCTAAGATCGGCAGGTCAGAGAGCAGGGCTCCCGCTCACAGGCTGTGAAGGTCAGTGAATTCCAAGATCGGCAGGCAAGACTGCAAGATTTCCCCTGATTCATGTAGCTGCAGGGGCTGGCAAACCCAAGATCAGGTTGGGGAGCAGGACTCTTGCTTGCAGGCTGTGAAGATCGACGAATCCCAAGATCGACAGGTAAGCTGCTAGCTAAAGTCCCAAGAACCAGAGGTGAGACAACAGGAGGTAGCTGCAGGATCCAGAGTGAGCAAAAAGCCAAAATGTCTGCTTATATTCAGATGCAGGCCACACCCCCAAGGAAACATCCTTTCATCTGATTGGCTACTCAAAGCATATTCAGTCATGGAAGTGATCACATATATAAACACTGAGAATCATGGCCCAGCCAAGTTGACACACAATCTTAACCATCACGCCTTTAATCTTGTTTAATAAATAGACTGACATGACTAATAGATGTTTGAGCCCCATGTGATGTAGGATACCACAGAATACTGATCATCTTAGTTTATTTTTATTTGTTTGTGTTTTTAAATATTAGAACTCCAAGTGTTCGATTTCAGTTGTATTTTTAGAAAATAATGAAATCAAAGGCTTTTCTGTTCTGTGAGGAAATATTAATTTATAAATTTTCTTTTTCAGGTTAGAAAAGCGCCTAATGCCAGTGATTTTGATCATTGGGAGACTGAAACCATTTACTCTAATTCAGAAGTCACAAACTTGAATGTTCCTGTTACATTTCCAAATAGCTTGCCAAGCCCTACTGAACACTCTACTTCAACAAAGCTTGAAAAAATAACTGGAGTTTTGCCTTTGGATAATGAGGACCAATTTAAATCTAATGGAATAGACGTAGCTGGTGACTCAGAAGGATTTAGTTCTCTGAAGCAATGTGATAATTCAGGTATTAATCATGCAGAAAATGAAGCTTCTCCAAAGACCTCTTCAGTAACCCCACAGGAGACTCTTATTTCTGATAGTCTCTTCCCCAAAAATGAAGAACAGGATCCATCACTTTTGGAAGAAGTCACTCCCGATCCCTACATAATGAGTCTTCAAAACCTGATGAAAAAGTCAAAGGAGTATCTGGAAAGAGAACAATCTAAACGCAGTCTGAGAAGCAGTGCCAAGAACAGTTTTAATGAGAGTCATTCAGACAAAGAAAATGATGCTGTTAAAGTGACTGATTGTGTAAAGGAGAAAGCCCAGTTGACGGACAAACACTGTGGCTCAGTTATTCCTGACAAGCCAAGCCTTAATAAATCAAATGTTCTTCTCCAAGGTGCTTCCACTCAAGCAAGCAGCATGAATACATCTGTTTTAGGTAGCTTTTCTAAAGTGGACATACCTATACGAACTGGCCATCCCACTGTTTTAGATTCTGATTTTAAAGTCATTTCCACTCTTGTTCCTGAAAATAATGTTATCAGAAGTCTTACCGGTTCGTATGCCAAGTTACCTAGTCCAGAGCCAAGTATGAGTCCTAAAATGCATCGAAGACGTTCAAGGCCATCGTCAGCATGCCATATACTTATAAATAACCCAGTAAATGCCTGTGAATTAAGCCCTAAAGGAAAAGAAAAGGCAGTGGACTTAATTGTTCAAGATACTGACGAGAAAACAAACATACCTGAAACTGTGCCAAAGTTACCAGTTGATTTAGCAGGAGGTTCAAGCAGAAATACACCTGAAGCTATAGAAGAAATGGCTTTAGGTAAATCAAATCAGGTATGTCAGTCTTCAGGAAATCAATTAGAAAATAAAATTATTCACGGACTTGCTCCTGGGGAAGGTCAGGTAATATCTGACAGGAGAGGACCACACAAAATGGACAATACTTGTACCGTAGTGCCGAGATTGCAGGAACCATATGGCACCAGTCAATGTATAGCAAGTCAAAGCTTTGGGACCATGAGTGGACTTAAGTCAGCCAGTGTGCAAGAGAAAAACTCCTGCAGTTTACAGATGGAGCTGAATAAGTCTTATGATGTAAAGAACCCATCTCCTTTACTGATGCAAAACCAGAATAATAGACAGCAGATGGACACACCTACAGTGTCCTGTGGAAATGAACAGTTTTTGGAAAACAGTTTTGAGAAAGTTAAACGGAGACTTGATTTAGATATTGATAGTTTGCAAAAAGAAAACTACCCTTATGTCATAACAACTGGAATAGCTGAACAAGAAAGGCAACATTTGTTGGAAAAAAGATACCCTAAGGGGACTATCTGCATTAACAAGAATAAAATGTTAGAAAATAGTTCAAAAGGTAAGGAAATTTTGAAGCATTTGATGCCTGCAAAGCAGATGGTAACTTTATTGTAATACTTTAAAATGACATTTTACCAAAAAAATACTTTTCATATGTTCATCAGGGTACTTAATTTCATTTATCATATTAGAGAGTTTATAATTCCAAAACCAAAAAACCAAACCTATTGTTGTTGAGTCAATTCTGACTCACAGCGACACTATAGGAAGAGTAGAGCTGCCCAAAGGGTTTCCAAGGCTGTAATCTTTATAGGAGCAGACTGCCACATCTTTCTTCTGTGGAGTGGCTTGTGGGTTTGAACTGCTGACCTTTCAGTTAGCAGTCAAGTGCTTAACTGCTGCACTGTTTATTGCCATTTAATAGGCTTTCTTTTCTTTAATGACCTTTCTTATTTAAATTATGAAGCTTCCATAGTCTATTTGGTATTTTAGAGGATATTGTTAATGACTCAGGAAAAAATTCTTGCATGAAACATCAAATGTAATTTTAATCCACCGTACTTTATGAGGTCTTTTCTTCTGGAGTATGGTTTCTAATGCCTTTTTTTTTTAACATTTTATTATGGTTTGGGTGAAAGTTTGCAGAGCAAATTAATTTCCCATTCAACAAGTTATATATATACTGTTTCGTGATATTATCCCCTCAACGTGGCAGCATTCCACCCACTTCCTCCCTGGGTTCCCTGGTTCCATTTACCCATCTTTCCGGTCCCTTCCTGCCTTCCGAACTTTGTTTTTGGGCAAGTGCTGCCCTTTTGGTCTCGTATGGTTGATTGTTCTGAGGAGCATGTTCCTTGCGGATGTTCTTGTTTCCTTTATAGGCCTGTCCATTGTTTGGCTGAAAGGTGATCTGCAGGAGTGTGATCAGTTCCAGGTTAGAAGGGTGTCTAAGGACCGTAGTCTCAGGAGTTCCACCAGTCTCTATTAGACCAGTAAGTCTGGTCTTTTTTGTGAATTTGAATTTTGTTCTACATTTTTGTCCCACTCTGTCCGGGACCTTTAATTGTGATCCTGATCAGAGCAGATGGTAGTGGTTTCTGGGCACCATCTAGTTCTGGGCTCAGGCTGGTGGAGTCTGTGGTTCATGTGGTCCATTAGTCCTTTGGAATAATTGTTTCCTTGAGTCTTTGGTTTTCTTCACTCTTCTTTGCTCTGAGCAGGAAGAGACCAATAGTTGTATCTTAGGTGGCTGCTCGCAAGCTTTTAAGACCCCAGTCACTACTGACCAAAGTAAGATGTAGAACATTTTCTTTATGGACTATGTTACACTGATTGACCTAGATGTCCCTCGATACTATGGTCCTACGCCCTCAAGCCCAGTGACTCAGTCCCTCTAGGTGTTTGGTTATGGCTAAGGAGTTTTTATAACTTTGCCCCCTGTGTGCTCTACTATGTACACGGATATCTTTGTAGCGCATACAAATATGTTTGTAGAAATAGCCTCTGCAAAACCTGTATATGCTTGTGGGTGTACACCCATATGCTGCCCCACACCTGTTCAGCTTACGTATCTACCTATGTATCTACTTGTACATTATTATTTGTTATTGTAAGATTGTGTATGTAATAGTATTTACCATTGTTGTCTTTTACTCTTGTGTACTTCCCAATGTCTTCCTTTGCCTTGGTCATGTTGTGCTGACTTCCCCCTTACTAGGTATTGCTTTTTCCTTCACCCTAGTTAATACATGTCTACTACATAGTTAGTGATTTTACCTCCCTCCCCTCCCATCCCTGGTACCATCAAATAATGTTTCTTCCTGTGTATAAACCTTTTCTTGACTTTTATAATAGTGGTCTCATACAATGTTCGTCCTTTTGTGATTGACCTATTTCACTAAGCATAATGTCCTCCAGGTTCATCCATGTTGTGATATATTTCACAGATTCATTGTTATTCCTTATGTTGCGTAGTATTCTGTTGTGTGTATGTACTATAGTTCATCCATTCATCCATTGGCAGGCACTTAGGTTGTTTCCACCTTTTTGCTATTGTCAATAATGCTGCGATGGTCATGGGTGTGCATATCTATTCGTGTTACAGCTCTTATTTCTCTAGGGTATATACGTAGTAGTGGGATTGCTGGATCATATGGTATCTCTATTTTTAATTGTTTAAGAAGAAACGCGATACCGTTTTTCACATTGGTTGTACCATTTTACAATCCACCAGCAGTGTATGAGAGTTTCAATCTCTCCACACCCTCACCTCGTTGTTTTCTGTTTTTGATCATTGCCACTGATGTCAGGGTGAGATGATATCTCACTGTTATTTTGGTTTGCATTTCTCTGATGGCTAGTGATCGTAACTCTTCATGTATTTGTTGGCTACCTGAATGTCTTCTTTCATGAAGTGTCTGTTCATGTCTTTTGTCCATTTTTTGATTGAATTGTTTGTTTTTTTGTTGTTGAGGTGTTGAAGTTTTCTATAAATTTTAGGGATTAGTCCCTTGTCAGATAGGTCGATGTCAAATATTTTTTCCCAGTCTGTAGGTTTTCTTTTTACTCTTTTAGAGAGGTCTGGTTTCTAACGGCTTTTGTCAGTTTGCTATTTCATTTGTAATGAGAGTTTCATGTGGTTGGCCCTTCAGTAAACACTTTCACATCAAATTATTAGAGAAAATATCATAAATTATATTCACTCTGAATGGTATTTCAAGAATGATTTATTTATTGATAAAGATTATTTTTTCTAATTTCTTTCCGTTGCATCTAGTGTTACATTAATAGCAACCTGCTAAGATATGCCTTTCTTGTTCATTACTCCTTACATTGTTGTCAGGGGTAATAATCCTTCATTACTGATATGGAAAACATACAAATTAAATAAATTCTTAGACATTTCAGATTTTATGTGATATGTATTGTCCTGAAAAACCTCATGTTCTGTAAAATTGCACACTAAACATAACAGGGCTTATGGGAAAAATAGGGTCAGAGAATAATCAGAAGCATATTTTAAATTGATGGTATAAAATATCAGATATTATTGTTGTAGTGAATTTTCTTAATTTGAGGGGACATGTTTCTTTTCAGAAGGTGAGATATTAAAAAGCAAGATGTTAGCTTTTGAAGAAATGCGGAAGAGACTAGAAGAACAACATGCCCAGCAGTTGTCATTACTCATAGCTGAGCAGGAAAGGGAACAGGAAAGATTGCAAAAGGTGAGGAATTAAAATATAGGGGTGCAGGGCTGGTAAGTGAAACAGCAGGGGATACCTATGGACTTTGGTCATATATAAGATATTTGTACTTTTTATTCCTGCATATCTTAATGTAAGGAGGCCATTGTTCTTTGTTTTTTTGAGGCCATTGATTTTGATGCATGTATAACATTTTTTACTGCCAAAATATAAGGTTTAATATTTAGATCCTGATCTAAAAGTGATTGCATAATTTATCGAAAGGACACTTTATTAAATCCTTGACTCAAAGCTTTAATAATTGAAAAAGATATTTTGCAAATAGATACCATAATACACATCCTATAGGCACTATTTTATGAGAGGAACGACACTTGTTTTAAGATTATTAATGTGTGACATTTTAAATCCAATTAAATTGTCATAATTTTTATTTGAGGGAGGGGAAACTTGAAAGAAACAATACTCTGCTGGTAATTACACAGATTTTTGGCTGAGCTGAAAATCATAGTATTTTGGGATGTAATTGAACAAAAGATCTAGCATGTTTAACTGTTGATCTGCAGGAAATAGAGCAACAGGAGAAAATGCTAAAAGAGAAGAAGGCGATTACAGTGGGAGCCTCTGAATTGGACAATAACAATGCGGTGGAGTTAGAATGGAGAAAAATAAGTGACTCTGGCTTGCTAGATACAATGCTGTCTCAAGTGGATTCACTCCATACTTCAAATTCAAATAATTCTGGTAATTAAGATAATTTTTTTGGGC